ATATCAAAAAGCCTACGTAATGTATCGAAGGAGATATATGTTCCGCCTCTCTGAAAATCAGATCTGATAAGTCTGATAAGGGCGCGATCATACAAAAGAAAGACTCTTATTTCACCATAAGAGTCTATTAAAGTTGGTGAGTGAGGAGGCACACAGACAGGGAGCACAGAGCATTTATCACCTTCTGGATGTGAAAAGGATTTTTGTTCACTTGACCTCACATTTGGGACTTTATTTCACTATTTATTGTTATGTGTTCATTATTTAAGCATCTTTTTCATGTCATATAACATACATTGAGGCAGCACTCCTGCTATTTTGTGTATTACGTGGCTTCACCTTGGCTTACTCATTTGCACCTCTACGGGCAGCATGCACATGCTATGAATTCCAGTCTACCCTATTGGCTGATATTATTTTATTACAGATTAGAAGTGGGTTCCAATGTATTGATTCTGTCACAATACTCCTGAAGAAGGATTCCCAAAACTTGTCAAATGAATGGCAAGCATAATCTTTGCATGTTGTGAATCTCTATTTGGAGAGTAATTTTTAATGTTGTGCAACAGATTTTTAATGGTGAAAAATAAAATAGTTTTTATGGTACTTAATGTATTGATAGGACAGGACAAGTTCAGATTTGGGCAATAAATACTGTAAGGTCTGGGAGATAAAGCTTATCAGGAGACACTGCAGGAACTTTATATGTGAACTTAATATAAGTTTCCAGACAAAAATGGATTTAGGGGGCATGACGGAAACCTTTAAAAACATTAAAGGCAGGAATAAAGAAGCTGAGATCAAAAACATGGGAACACAACCTCAAACTAGAAGATGAAAAGTTCAAAATGAAAACCTTAGAAGTGTTTTTTTTTTTTTTACAGAAAAAATATTCGATTTTTGAAACATGCTTCCAAAAGAGGTAGAGTTTCAATCAACAAGAAGTGAATTTAAACATTTTTTAGGATAAATATAAGTTTATCCTCTGACAAAAAAAAGGGGAGCAGAGAAGACTTGATGAGCCATTTGGTCTTTTTCTGCCGACACTTTTCTATACTTCTATAAATAGATTGCAATTTTTAATTAATTTTCCCATCTTCTGAATAGCATTCTCATGTGTTTATTTTGCCATCTTACAATTCAGTGATCACTCACAATAGGCATTGATAATTCCTGTACCTGCCACTGACATTTTGATTTTCATCATTAAGTCATGTGTGATTTCTGAACTTGTGATTTTATCAGTTTTTTTTTTATAAAACAAATCTGTAGAGCCGAGGAATCAGCTGCAAGTGTAGTAAACACTGCATTGTGTCTATATACAGCCACTGAAAACCTAATTACAAAAAACAACAGTAACAGTGTGATAGCAGAAACAATATGTTCCAGCACTTGCAATATGTTTCTAACATTCCTCTGCTACCCGATATGTCACAGCAGTGCCACAAAAAAGTATGTTTCCAGGTGATGGGGAAGATGTAACATTCCTCCAATCTCTCATAGTGATTGTAAACCCTTACATATACCCATTGAAATGACTGGCCTCCGGTGATACACAGAGATGAAACAAATCCTCCCATATAAGTTGCACCTGTTTATCTGTAGTCTTCTCTTTTCTATATCCATTCAAAATTCAGAATTTATAAAGCTTGTCTGCGAGTTCAGAAAAAAGGGGCAGAAAGCTGAAATTACACACTGCAGAGCTAAGTGAGGAGAGCTCTGAGAGCTGATTGGCGGGAAGAAGCATCCCCCTTCACACAGCTCACAGGAACAGAGCTAAGGCTATCAATCAGGTGGAGGTCCCACCCCTATCGCCATTTTTCTCTTGGTGTCAGGAAAACGTATCAGAAGTGACTCATGCTGATAACAGAGGAACACGGCATTAGAGAGAAATGACATTCAGTGTTCTTAACTGAGACAAGTACACACTATAGAGAAAAGGTGTCAAACTGATGCCCCTCCAGCTGTTGCTGAACTACAAGTCCCATCATGCTCCTGCCTGTGGGAGTCATGCTTGTAACTGTCAGACTTGCAATGCCTTATGGAACTTGTAGTTCCGCAACAGCTGGTTTGACACTTGTGCTATAGAGGGATATGTTTTGTTTATATTTCAAGTCTGAGGTTTACAACCACTTTAAATTCTTGGTCAGAGTGGACAGCTGCCATGTCCAAATGCTGGCACATGGGAGCAGAGATTTGGTTAGTTTTCAGTAACTATTGACATTAAGAATTGTATAGATATTTTGGGGTGTCCAGCAGTAGCTAAAGAGGCACTGGAAAGGACAAAGAAGGTACCTTATGGTATGGGTATTGTGCTATTGCCTTACTTTTGTACATTGTAGTTAATCACATATCATTTTAAAGAGCTGGTTCATAGTCCAGTGAATTAACTACTAATTTTCCAGGTCTTTCTTACTCTACTAACCCCAACCAATCTCCAGCTCAGTTCTTTGCAACGTTTTCAACACCAACAGTTCAAATCAATACCAATTCACCAACACAGACACAGAACAACAGAACCCAACCAATCTTCGATTTGTCTATCCAAGGTGTGGGCAAACTGTGACCCTCTAGGTATTGCTGATCTATAAATCCCACTATGCCTCTGCCTCTGGGAGTCATGCTTGTGAGTTCTGTAATGCCTCAAGGGACATGTAGTTCCATAACAGCTAAAGTGTCAAGGTTTGACGTAGTGGTGCACAGAAAAGAAAATTCTGGTGTCAAAATCGAAAATTCAAAATGTACTTGGCCGAAAACCAAAACAGAAATGCTCAGTTTTTAAAAATGAATATATATTTTTTGGAAAAAAATACACTTTGATTAAAAAAAAGAAAAAAAAATATATATACCCCAATTTTTTTGTAAAATATGAAAGAGGATGTTACGGCGAGTAAATAGATACCCAACATCTCATGCAATAAAATTGCGCACGCTCGTGGAATGGCGTGAAACTGAGGTACTTAAAAATCTCCATGTGTGATGCTTTAAAAATTTCTACAGGTTAGTAGTGTAAAGTTACAGAGGAGATCTAGTACGAGAATTATTTCTCCTGCTCTGACGTTCGTGGCGATGCCTCACGTGTGTGGTTTGAACACCATTTACATATGTGGGTGTGGCCTACGTATGCGTTCACCACTATGTGTGAGCACGGGGGGATGGGGGCACTTTAAACTTTTTTTTATTATTTAAGTAATGGTTTTTTGTTTTTTTTTTTCCACTGTCCCTTTAAAAACATTGTAATTGCTTTTATTCTTATCACACGAAACTCATGAATCCCTTGTGATAGAAATAATTAGTGACAGGTCCTCTTTGTGGAGAGATATGGGGTCAATAAGACCCTCACATCTCTCCTCTGCAATGTAAAGCATTGGAAAAAAAAAAAAAAGCATTGATCTAGTGCTTTAAAAAAATAAAAAAAATGGCCAGAACGGGAAGTGACTTTGCTCTGGTCCTCCAAGGACATAGAGATGAGTGGCGGCCATCTTTTCCTTCACTCATCTCTATGCCCAGCAGTGGGATTGATGGTTTCTCAGGTAAGGCTGAGAACTACCGAGCGACGGCCGGTGTTGGCAGCAGCGGGTGGTCGGCAGTGACGGCGGGCGGTAGAGAGGGATGGGCAGTGGCGAAGGGCGGGATTTTTTTGGCACCTGTATTGGTGCTTTTTCTAATTTCAGCTGAAACGTTTTAGCCACCGAAATTTCGGTGCATCCCTAGTTTGCCCAGTCTGCTCTACCCCAAAATCTCATTATTATCGATTACCGTGTTCAATTTTATTCTATACCACTACAATGAACTCTATACTAAGTGGCCCACTGTAATTACTAAATACTTTATGTTTAAACCTCAATAAAATCTATGTATAAGAAAAGAAAACTATCTTTTTAAAAGTAATCACCACTTCACAGAAATTTGGACTTGACTCCATGTTGACTGCCCCATCAGGCAAAATGAGGCTAGAAAGTTTCCTCCTTTAGGATTAATAGAGTAGAAGTTAGCTGTGTGCCGAAAAATATTATCTTCCAATGCACCATCTATATTTTAAATCACTTCTCTTGTGATAACCTTTTGAAACATGTTACCTGTAGAGACTAGCAAATTGGTTTGATAAAAATGAAATCTGCAGATACAAAACATCTATAAACACTGGCCAATCAGCGCAGTGAACTGGTTGAGGGGTCCTTTGTAAACTGACTTTTACGTATAAAATACAGTATGTGAAACACTGATGAAATCATATGCATGTGTGTTGTAAATGTACCGTATATGATACGTGCAATAATGCTTTAGTGGATAGAAGAATTCATTTCATTTGTGCCAAAAAACAAAAATGCACGATAAAAAAATGATTGCATGTGTGAATGGAACCCAATGTCAATCATGTCAATCAGTCACTTACATCTGTCTAGATTTGTCACTAAGGGTGCTTCTCTAACAGAGAACTGGACAATGGCAGGTCATACTGGTACTGAAATACCTCACTTCTATGAAAATCTGGAATTTTCCTATAAAAATCAAACTTGGCTCTGGTAACCCTCACCCAGGGGCGGACTGACCATTCGGGCACTCGGGCACTGCCCGAGGGCCCGGGGTCTGTAGGGGTTCCCATGAGATGCCCCTGGTACCTTTCATAAGCTTTTTTGGGTGTTGTTTGAGTGTAGGTGAGGACACAGGGGCCCCATGATCCCCTATTGCCCGGGGGCCCCATGAGTTGTCAGTCCGCCCCTGCCCTCACCCCCAATTACACTTATTAGTCCTTTAATAAGAGGTGAGCATTAGGAAGGCAAGAAGATTTAGGACTAGTTCCAGTTTTTACATGAGAATTCCAGATTTGTATGTAAGCTCAGCTGCCTATAGATCAATAGTTCGGTTTAACTGCTTCCATGCTGTCCTATAGGAGAAATACTGCTACCGGGCAGCACGGGTGTGCAAAATCATGTATATATACAGAATTCTGCAGTTAAGAGTAGGGGGCGCACACGAGCCATGTGCGCACCCTACCCGCGCCGCCATTTGGGGCCTTGGCTGTCAATCACCGAGGCCCAGCCGGTGATTCCTTGCCGGCACCCAGCGATTTCCGAGAATTACCGACACGGGGGAGAGACCTATATGTAAACAATACAGATCTCTCCCCTGTCAGCTCCTGCACACTGCTTTGTATGGCTGTGCACAGCAGAGCCATACAAAATAATGTGCTTACAGTGTAAAGCACACAGGTCACATAGTAAAACAGCACACAGATAACCCTTTGATCGCCCCAGATGTTAACTCCTTCCTGCCCAGTGCCATTAGTACAGTGTCAGTGCTTTTTATTAGCACTGACCACTGTATTGGTGTCACTGGGGATGTCAGTGACACCAACTCAGTTCCCCCCCAGTGTCAGAATGCCCGCCGCAGTCTCGCTATAAGTCGCTGATCATCGCCATTACTAGTAAAAAAAAAAAAAACCCATTATATATACCACCCATTTATAAACGCTATAACTTTCACGTAAACCAATTAATTTACATGTATTGGGATTTTTTACAAAAGACATGTAGCAGAATACATTTTGGCCTAAATTTATGACGAAATTTGATTTTTAAATTTTTTTTACTGGACATGATTTATTGCAAAAAGTAAAAATATAGATTTTTTTCTCAAAATTCTCAGTCTTTTTTTGTTTATAACCCAAAAAATAAAAAATGCAGAGACAATCAAATATCACCAAAAGAAAGCTCAGCTCTATTTGTGGGAAAAAAGGGCGTAAATTTAATTTGGGTGCAGCATTACATGACTGCGCAATTGTCAGTTAAACTAACACAGCGCCATATCGCAAAAACTGGCCTGGTCAGGAAGGGGGGGGGGGGGGTAAATCCTCAGGGGCGAGTGTTATGCGGTTTAACTATAAGCAATCTCTGCTCAGTTTACATTTGACAGGTTTATGGTTCACTTACTGTATTTGTTCCGGTCGCACTGTATTTAGACATATGTTGGAGACAGATGATGGTGCCATAGGCATGCCCTTTTGTGCAAGCTCCACCTGTAGGGGTTAATTTACTAAAGGAAAATAGACTTTGCGAGGGAATGTTGTGAAGCTCTGCTTACTTCCGTCATCCAATCATCTGCAAGCAAAAAGGCTGTTTTTTTTAAATTTTCTTTGTGCATAGTCTGTTAATCTTTGCAAAGTGAAACTCTGCCACATTCACTATGCTCTGGGGAAAATTCCTTTGCAACGTGAACAATCTATTTACCTTTATTAAATCAACCCCACATTGTCAGGGGATTAATGCAGTAAAAACAAATGCTATTTACCAAAGTCCTGGTGCGGCACATAACTTCCAAAAGGTAAAATCAACTTTCTTGTTCAGCACATTTATTAATGCAGACACTCCACCCAGTGGTGTATATTCTGCCCTAGGCAACACAAAAATTGTCTCCCCCCCATGAAAAGAGCCTGACATTGACCAACAACACCCCACCCAGGATAGCATTTCACTACCACTGCCCCCCATACACTGGCAACCCCCCACCCCGGAGAGAGAGAAGACACTCACCTTCACAGCTCTGGACATCCCCGGGAACTAGAGTCAGGCTCTGCATAGACTATCAAGCAGACCCTCTCAGATTCCACCTGGTCCCCATGCTGCGTGTGTCCTTTCTTCCATCTCTTCTTTCGGGGGGCAGCGCTGCCCCCCTAAAAAATGCTGCTGCCCCCCCTGAAAAAATGCTGCCCTAAGCTAATGCTTTTTTTGCCTTGTGGTAAATACGCCCCTGACTCCACCTAGGTTCCCCCCTCTAACATGTTTTGCCCCCTACTGGGGTGAATCGACAAACTATTTTTCACCAACATTTGTAAAGTTATCACTGTACTGAGAATCTTCGTATAAGTGTTCCTGTGGATATTCTTATAAAGTTTCAGTCAAAAATCGACTAGTGAATGGTCAACTATAGGCACTATGAATGAACCCAATAGGGGCCAAATTAATTAGAGGGAGGTTGCTCCTGAGTATGCATTCCAGTTTTGGTCAACATTCATCAGGAAGAATGTACTTGAACTGGAAAGAGTCCAGAGAAGGGCAACAAGGCTAATATTGGGGTTGGAGGACCTCAGTTAAAGTGGAGTTCCAGTTGAATAAAAAAAAAAAAAAGTCAGCAGCTACAAAAACTGTAGCTGCTGACTTTTAAAATACAGACACTTACCTGTCCCTTTGTCCAGCGGTGTCCTCACCATGGCTGGTTTCTGGCCATCTTCTCTCTCTCTGGCACCGACATCTTCGGTGTGGGCACCCGGCTGTGACAGGTTGCGGCATCACAGCCGGGTGCCCGCTGCGCATGAGCGAGTAGTGCTGAGCATTGTGAATGGTCCAGCAGTCTTCTGGGACCTGCCACATGTCCCAGAAGACTACAGAGAGGGAAGGGGGAGGACAACTTCTGCTTCTGATCTCTTTAGGTGATCGCAGCCAAAGTGGCAGTGGGTACCTTTCAAATTCGGGTAGCCACTCGCCAGAGGTGTCAATCCTTAACAGGGAGTCGGGGACAAAGGCTTCAAGCGGAACTTCCCCTTTTGGGTGGAGCCTCACTTTAAGTCAATAATGACTACAAACATTAAACTTATTGTCCTTGGATGAGTGACGGTTAAAAGAGGATATGATCATAATTATACAAATCTTTAAATGGTGACTCTAGTGTTGGGAGGAAACTATTTACTAGTGAAAAAGAACAGACAAGGGCGCACTCTCATCGCGCATTACCGCGGAAAAAAAACACGTGTTTATAGAAAAAAAGAAGATATATACTCACAATCCAGCGTGATTAAAAGCAGTATATGTGGTCCACAAACACAGTCACAGTACACCTGTGTCTAATGATGCGAATGACGCGTTTCAGGAGCTAAACCCCCTTCCTCAAGCTCCCGAAACGTGTCAGCTCATTCGCATCATTAGACACAGATGTACCGTGACTGTGTTTGTGGACCACATATACTGCTTTTAATCACGCTGGTTTGTGAGTATATATCTTCTTTTTTTTCAATAAACACGTGTTTTACCATGGTAATGCACGATGAGAGTGCGCCCTTGTCTGTTCTTTTTCACTAGTGCTCAGATTTCCCGATCTTAGAAGGGCTGCACCTCCTCAGTTAGCATTTTGGCATCTTCTTGGTTGTATGAAGACTGGAGCGCTGGTCATGTTTGTTTATCTTTTGGAGGAAACTATTTAACCTATGGTCTCTAAAGAAGACACGCTTCCATACAATGAAATATGACAAGAAGCGAGTCAATTTTAAACTAAGAGATTCTTTACTGTTAGTGCGGTGTAGATGTAAAACTCCCTTGGTGGTGTCAACAGGGAGCATAGATGTTTTAGATGTGTTTGTTAGCGAGAACAATATACAGGGATATGGAAAATGGTAGTGCCATAAACACACACACATGCTCACACACGCTCAGGCTGAACTAGATGGACTGGTGTCCTTAGTCAAGTGTACCAACTATGTATCCTTGATGGAGTGCTGAACAATAAAGTTGATTTTGCCCTTTTGGAATTGCTATGTGGATTTTGTTTAATGGTATATGGGAGAAACAGACTCTGGAGGAGTAAATGCCTGTGAGTTGGAGTTCAGAAATACAGAGTTATTAGGTGCATTTAATTTTTTTTGTGAATAAAAAAAAGAGCACATGCATTTGGCGGCCTACTAAAAATGCAGATATACTTTTGAGCTGTACAGACCATCTAATAAATATATCATGGTTGTTATTTACTAAAACTAGAGAGTACAAATTCCGGTGCAACTCTGCATAGAAACCAATCAGCTTCCAGGTTTTATTGTCAAAGCTTAATTGAAGTTAGGAGGTGATTGGCTACCATGCACAGCTGCATCAGATTCAGAGAGTTCCAGTTTTAGTAAATATACCTCATTGACTCCTGTAGAAATATCCAAAGTTGGGAAAAAAACAAAAGAAGGAAAGTTATCACAATTTGTAAATGTTGAAGTTTGGTGCTGACCTTCTAACAGTTCTGCTGTAGGTACTGGCATCCAATGGTAAATAAAGTCTGGTGCTCAACATACTCAAGTTTGCTAAAGAAAGTGCACAGTGGACTACACAAAGAGTAGCTAAAATACATGCTGAACTGGAATGTAGATCACCATTCTCCAGTCTCATTGTTATGTAAATCCCCAACCAGCCTGCCTTTTAAAATGTTTCCTTTTCCTTTTGAAAGTTCACAATCAAGCAACTTTCGAAAAATCAAAATAGCTTCACTCCTGCTGCGCTTACATCTTCTCATCTCTTTAAGGCCATTTAGATTTATTTAATGAAACCACAATATTCTGTGAGTCACCACCGAAACGAAAAAAAAAAAAAAAGGAAAAAGGATTCCGGCAGAAAAAAAGGTCTTTTTTGGCTTTCTACTGACACTCTCTAAGCAACAACAAAGACATCAGAAAAGCATATACATCAAACTATAATCTCTAAGCACCACACTTCATATTAACAGTATACACATCCTTTTTTGTTTTTTCTTTTTTTTTTTCTTTTTTTTGTGTGAAATAGCAAGCTTTTTATTTCTTTTCATCCCAGAGCGGGTTTGATCTATACAAATAAAGGTCCAAAAATACCTTATACACTTCTTTTCATTCCCATCCAGCTTCTCAGATGAATAGTCAAAGGCTTAATTAATTGAGCAAAACAACAATTTGCAATCTAATTTGTTCTTTCTTGATTAACACTTTTATCAATTGGTTCTGCAGATAGAACTATTCATTGAAAACCAAGGCTGTGCATTTGGAAACTAGGTCGCTTTGGCACTTTAATGAATCGCAAGAGTGAAATGTTATTACCCTAAATTAACAACCTTTGCACTTATTAATAATGTGTTTTTTTGGCAGAATAAAAACCGCATAGAAAATAGCCGTGCCTAACGAATGGGCTTTTAATAGCTATTTCTATTTAAACTTTATATCTTTCAAGCAAATAAAAAAAGTAACTGCTGTGTTTTACTTGGTTGCTGTTCAACTTTTTCCCCCCTCAGTTTACCTTCAATAGGAAAGACATCAAAGGAAAAAGGTTCCTATGTAGACCTCTGGGGCTTCTGGTGCACTGTTTTTGGCAAGTTTAAAATACAAGAACAAAAGTGTTCTTAAAAGATGCGGACAAGGGCAGGGATTGAAGCGGCTGGCGGTGAAATGTGATTTTTTTTTTTAAAGATGAGCCTTTAAATAATAAAAAAAAAATTCAAGACATTCAAAATGGTGCATTTAGGCCAAGAAGATATAATGTAGCAATAAATGATGGTTTAATGACAATGAAATGTCAGGGTAAACTGGGCTGGGAGTCATTATTGCGAAAGTTGTAAAGGTGAGACGTCCAGTTCTACCAAAAAAAAAAATTGGGAATGTCTGAGAAAGGTAATGAGTGTCTCAATAAGAATGAAAGG